AACGCAGGAACGTACACCCGGAGTCGGGGGTGAGACCTTTACAACAGTCAGTTTTGAGACTGACAGTCAGGCAGGGTTTTTTTTTATTATTATTATTTTTTTTATTTTATTTTTTATTTTCAGAAGGATGATAAGTTTTTGTAAATCCTTAAAGTCTTAAATAAAAGATCATAGGCCAGCAGAATACATAAGACCTGGATCTCTTTGGATCTTTCTATTTTTTGCAATGGTTAATTTGCTTTAAAGGTAACAAATCTCTTTAACAGATTAAAAGAAACCCTACTGTCAGGAAACTCTTCTTTTACACTGTGATTAAAAACACAGAGTTGTTGGTAGTGGCTGCCTTTCCCTGGTTAACTGGTCTCTTATTAGTGATCCAGGARTTCTGGAAGATCCCAAAGATAACAGAGCCGCAGATAGCAAGGGAGAGAGCACTTCCCATGCATTTGAAAAAAACCTTTTCTTGTCTGGGAACATTTATTAAACAAAAGCTTTGTTTACTCACAATGTTTTCAGCTATCTTGAATTCAATGTCACGCACAGTATCAACTGCACCTGACAGCACTGGCTGTCCAGAATCATCAACTCTTTTGATCTGTCCTACATACAAACGGCATCTCACAGATCTCTGTCAGCCATTCTCCAAAAGCACAGCAATAAAAGCATCCCTCCTTTCTTGATCTTTTTCTTTTTTTTCTCTATTTGCATACTCTCTGTCTAAAAAATATGATATTCATGAATATATTACATTGTAGGCCTGAAGGAGCTTCACAGCTTCACAGAAAGCTAAATGGAGGCTGGCAGTAAGACCCAGTAAAGCTTAACATGTAGTAACGTTATTTTGCATGTTGGTCTAGAATCTGCTCATTTTACACACAGAAAAAWCTATGTCAATATTTTAGTATTTGCCAGAGAGGGACCCAAAGCAGTGGTTGTGGTGCTGGGAGCAGGTGGCTTGAATTTGTCTCACAGTCTTGTTGCTTTTAACTCAGAGGTCTTGACTTCTTCCTCAAGCTCTTACCAAATGAGCTCTCYGTGGATGGTGAACATGTTGGGTACCTGGCTGCATGCTCTTCTGGAGACTCTCTTTGCCTAGAGACATCTTCACCTTGCATAGGAACATGGGTATATCTTGACTTCGTAATATATTAATACCCTTGCACAATAAATTTCCTAAAATTCTCAAATATATTTGCATAGGGCAGAAATCTTATTTAGGGTTTTTTTTTTTTTTTTTTTTTTTGCATGCCAACCTTGTAAACCTGTCAGTTTACCTGTATCTTTTAAAATGGTCTTGAAAATGGAATCTTTGTTTAATCTGAGTCCTCCTGCATAAAGGCTAATGGTCTTCTGGTGGAGATGGGCTGAGCAATCAGAGTTCTGCAGTTTACTGATCTTTGGGAAACTTTCCCTTATGTTTTCTGCCTGTACAATAAACATAGCTGTAGAATTACAAGCCTGTTAAAWTGCTGGAATAGAAGTTGAAAATATAACATCTTTCCTTTAGAGCCATTAAATGATTTCTTGTGAATATTGTCAGCTACAGCTCCAGATTCCTCTTAGTCCTGACTGAGAACAATTATGCTATTGATCATTTTAATAGTATTTATGGGAACTGTTGATGTAAGAAGCCACCTGTTCCCGGCTAGACTTTAATCTCTGACATACAATGACAGTAAATAATACAGGTCTGCATTTTCAAAACAGGTCAGGAGTTTGAGTCATCATAGCTCAAAAAGACATTTAGAGTCCCTGCTTCTCATTAACTTCAGCTATTGGATAAGTTTTGGAAAATGARTCTAATAACTTGCAGAAATGTTAAATTAAATTATGTTATGCAGGTGAGCAGAATTCAGATTCGTGTGTTATGTAATGGATACATACAGCGATTTCAGCGTGTCACGGTGCCTTGTGCAGTTCATCCTTCTGTGGCCACATGTAGTTCCATTAAAAAGTCTTTTTTTCAGCCTAACACCACGGTTTTCTCATTCTACATTATTATTTCCTTGTAATATGTATGAAGTTATTTACCTTTTAGAGAGCCCTGTAAGCACACCCAAGCCGATTGCTAGTAGTTTGGGGAGCTGTTTTGAAGCAGTATCTGTTTGAAGCAAAGCTGTTGTATATAGATTATTTAAGTACCTATCCTTAAATGTGATTGAAAAAATAGTTAATAAGAATATAATATTTTTTTCTTCCCCTCTATTTGAAGCAGAAAAGAGAGATATTTATGTCCCTAGTAAAATTACTGKTTTTTTTTTTTTTTTTAGCTTTTATTGCTGTATAGTGCAGATGAGCTCAGAGGTCTGGGTGCAGTTTGGGTGCAGTTCAGTTAGTGKGAAAGTCCTGACTATGTTAATACTCCTTATACTTTTTTCATTGTAATCTATTTATCATTACAGACATTTGAGTCCTGTCTTTTGTAGAAAACACATGCAGTTCAGTGAGTACCTCCAATAATGAAGCAGACAGTGAGAAGTCTCAGGAAGGCAGTGCTACCTGCACACATGCACATATATAATAAATGCCCTATCTCTCTTTGTTACAATCTGGCAAAATATAGCTTAATCAGCTATAACTCTTTAAAGTATAGGCTAAAATTGAATTCAGAACAGGCTTTATTGAGTGAAGAAATTAGATATACAAGACCTTTCTGGCATGTCGTAGAGAAGTAAAAGTCCTGTAGGTATCTGTTTGTCCAGTTGCATCAATGTAGACTTATGCTATGGTTTGTTCCAGTGTGATCCATCTGCTTATACTGGATTTCTTTTTT